AAATTTTCCAGATTTTATGGAAACTGTAAACCCACAGACCCAGGAGGCTCAAAGAACCCCAAGCACAAGAAACATAAAGTGAGAGTATACAGTGAACTGCTGAAAGCCAGTGATGAAGACAAAATGTTAAAAACAGAGAGAGAAGAAATATTGTATATAAAGGAACAAATTTAAGGATTTTTACTTTATAGTTTATAGTAGACATTTTTAACTTATCAAGTCTGCCAGGTCATGTAGTCTAAGAGCCTTACAACAGTGGACTTCCTTTTCCGCCCGTCTTTGTGCTATTATTGTCATACATTTAACTTACGCGTATGTTGCAGACCTCCCAATACATTGTTATTATTTGTGCTTTAATTCATCAATTATCTTTTTAAATATTTAACGTTAAAAATAAAGATTTTATCACTGGCTAGCTAGTTACCCTTTCTGGTGTTCATCATTCCTCTGTGCAAATTCCGATTCCTTCTGCTACCCCTCTTCTCTGCTCGAAGGATTTTTGTTAGCGCAGATCTGTTCGTGATGAATTCTTTCAGCTTGTGTGGTCTGAAAACATCTTTAGTTCATCTTCATTTTTGAAAGATATTTTTGCTGGGTATATAATTCTAGGTTGCCAGGATTCCCCATCCCCCAGTACTTTAAAGATGTTGCTCTGTTATCTTCTAGCTTACATTGTTTCTGACATGAAATCTTCTATAATCCGTATTTTTGTTCCTTTGTGCACAATATTTCTTTCTTTCTCTCTCTAGCTCTCTCTGCTGTTAAGATGTTCTCTCTGCTGTTTTCAGCAGTTCGGTGGTATACTCTATTTTCTGTTTCTTGTGCTGGGGGTTCTTTGAATTTCTTGGACCTGTGGGTTTACGGTTTCCTTAAAATTTGGAAAAATTTTGGTTATTGTTTCTTTAAATATTTTTTGTCTCTCACCCCCTCCTCTCCTTTGAGTACTCTGATTACATGATTTAACAGCCTGAGGTTATCTACAGTTGACTGATGTTCTCTCTTTTTTGTTTTTGTTTTTTTGGTTTTTTCTCTGTGTTTCATTTGGGGTAGTTTCTCTTGTTAAGTTTTTAAATTTACTAGTCTCTTTTTCCAAAGCATATAATCTCCTATTTAAACCATCCAGTGTATTTTTCATCTCACATATTATAGTTTTTATCTCTAAATGTTTGATTTAGATTTTTTAATATCTTCTGTGTCTCTATTTAACATGTTCAATATTCCTCTAGCTTCCTGAGTAGAAAACAGTTACAATAACTGTCTTAATATCCTGCCTGCTAATTCTATCATCTGTGTCATTTCTTGCTAAGTTCCAATTTTGATTTTTCTCCTTATTATGAATTGCGTTTTCCTGCTTCTTTGTATAATTGGTGTTATTGAATGAATGTTTATGTTCCTTCAGCCTTCTTATGTTGAAACCTAACCCCTAATGTAAAGGTATTTGGAGATAGGGCCTCTGGGAGGTGATTACGTCATGAGGGCAGAGCCCTCCCCTGGGACTGGCATTAGTGCCCTTATTAAAGAGATCCCAGAGAGCTCCCTTGCCCCTTCCGCCGTGTGAGGACACAGCAAGCAGACGGCTGCCTGTGAACCAGAAAATGAGCCCTCACCGGACACTGAATCTGCTTTGATCCTGGGCTTCCCAGCCTTTAGACTATGAGAAATAACTGTCTTTTGTTTATAAGGCACCCAGTTTATGGAATTCTGTCATAGCAGCCCAAATGAACTGAGATACTTGTTAATTTTTTATTGGATGCCTTCTTACCTTTTTGGGTGCTGAATATTTTCATATTCTTAAAAATAGTCTTCAGATTTGTTCTGGGTTACAATTAAATTGCTTAGAAAGAGTTTGGTTCTGGGTTACAATTAAATTGCTTAGAAAGAGTTTGGTATTATACTTGTCTTGCTTTAAAGCTTCATTAGATAAAATCAGAATAGCATTTTGTCTATGGTTAATTTTTCCCATTACAGAGGAAAGACCCTTCTTAGTACTCTAACTGATGCCCTGTAAGTTGTTTCATTGGTGTTTTCTTCCTTTACTCTGGCAAACAGAGTAAACAGGGAACAGTTGGCAACAGGCACTATTCTCAGCCCTACCTGAGCCCCGAGATCTGTTCCTTATAATCCTTTCAAGTGGCTCTTTCCTCGGCCTCCATCATTCCCCGGTCAGTACTCAGCTGATGGTGCGAAGGAGGTCTCTGGGGATACTTGGAATTTCTCTTTGTGCTCCCATCTCTTCTCCCTTACTCTCTCCTGCTAGCTCTTGCAGGCATGGCCTCCTTGGACGTCCACCTGTCTCCCTGCCTGTGGTCCCTGTCCCTCTGCCTTTCTCAGGGCAGTGAGCTGGGACGGTCCTAGGACTGTCTGCATTTAAAGTTTCCCATCTCTCAGGATGTACTCTCTCCTTGCCTAATTTCCTGTATGTTCAGAACATTTTTTTCTCATATTTTGTCCATCATTTTAGTTGTTTCAGGTGGGAGGGTAAGTCTGGTCCCTCTTACTCCAGCTAGGCTGGAAGCAAAAATGGTTTGAAGTGATTTTTAATTTCTTTATGCTTTTCTGTATTTTGAGATATTGTTGTCTTTGTACTAGGCATGTTTTTCTTTCAATCGTATTGGTTAAAGCTTCTCCATTTACAAAGTGATTAAAAAAAAAAACAGACAAATGTCCTACTGTGGAAAGACATTTGCAACATAAGAAAGTTTTTACCATATAAAAGATTCTTACAGATTAAGGAGAAAAAGATAGATAACATAATAAGACTATACATGGCCAATAAGGTTTTTTTTAAGCAGTGCCCCTATGAGTACTCAAAGAATTGTAAAAATTATGAAGTTGGGTTGAGGGCCATGGTTCACATATTTTCCAGTGCTGGTGAGGGGTGGGAAGTGGGCACGCCCATGCCACACAGGTGGGCGCGTATGCTGGCTCAGTCTTTCTCGTGGGCATGGTATCAGTATGTATCAGGACACTTTAAAGTGGACATACCTTAATTGATAATTTTACTTTTAGGAACTCTTGCTAAAGAAGTTAAGAATATAAGCAAAGATTTAGGTACAAGCTGTTTCTTGCACCAATGTTTATAATAGTGGAAACCATAAATGGCCACAAATAGGAGTTTGGCAAACAAATTCAGTACATCTATAATATGGTTTTTGTGTAGTCATACAAATGGCAAGGTTGAAAATTAGATGCTCTGAAAAGGTTTTTGTCATATTAATGGGGCCGACTTTTTTCTTTTTCCAAGTAAAGCTGAAGATGCCGTACTCTGGAATGGGGCAGATAAGCCATTGTAGGTAAAGGAAATAAATACACTGGTAATCCCCAAACCAGCTTTAAGAAATCATCTCAACTTTCTTCCTGGTTAGAGTTTGTTCACGAGTTTCTACCAGAAGTCACCGGATGCAAATATAGTTTACAAAACAGTATGCACCGCGTAGTCCCACCTTTGTTTTAAAGAATGATGCATAGGAAAAGATTACACTCTAGAATATGAATACGGATTATTTCTGACTGGTGAATTTATGAGTGTCTTTATTTACCTGTATCTTCACATTTTCTACCATAAATATGTATTGCCTTTTTAGCAAGAAAACTGGGGTTATTTTTAGCTATTTAAAATGTTTGTTAAACATTTGCCTTTTCGTGCTATAGGGCAGAGATTGGCAAACTTTTCCGTGAAGGGCCAGATGACGAGCACTTGAAGCATCGCGAGCCGGATGGTCCCCGCTGCGCGGCTCCGCTGTGACAGCGCAGACGCAGCCATAGGTCGTATGTGAATGAGTGGTTGCGGCTGTGTGTTCCAGCAAAACTTGATTTTCAAAAAAGACGCCAGGTGGGTTTGGCCCACCGGGTGTCATTTGCTGACCACAGCTGCAGGCACTTGAGGGTCTGGATTAACTGCTGGCCGCATCCCTCCGGCCGTGGGTGTTGGCAGGCTCTTGTTCGATGCTCTCCTGTTTCAGTGCACTTAGGAAAACCGTATTATAATGGAATCCGCGTTAGCAAGAAACTGTACTCTCTTTGCAAAGTAATCAAGTCTATTTTCCCCGCGTTTTAAAACCATTCTTTGAAGGCCATTATTCCATTGTTATTTTGATTTTTTCTTTTTTCACTCAAAAAGGATCTTATGTGGTAGTCCTGAAGATCTTGAGGCTTTAAAGAAAAATTAAATGCTTAGTGGCGTTATTGTCTGGTGCTGAAATAGTCATCTCTGCAATTAAATACAGGAAAAATGGGTAATGAGGCCTATTTCTTTTTCTTTTCCCAAGTAAAGCTTAAGATTCCACACTCCTAAAAGCGGCACATAAGCCCCAAACCTGCTTTAAGAAATCATCTCAACTTTCTTCCCAGTTCAAGAGTCTCTAGCAAAAGTCACCAGATGAATTTTGACTGTTTCTGTCGCCCGTAATGTCACGAGTTAGATGTTGTGTTCATTGACCACTCCTGGTTGTCACAAACATAGGAGGAGAATGGACCGGGGGGTCTCCTGGGCCATCCGACCGAGTGGTCTGGAACCCATTAGGACTGCGGGTCACACGTGAGGACCCATGTGTCGTAGAATCCATCTTACGGCATGGACTCGGGCTGGCTCCACCAGGGAAAACGCCCCGTGATTCAGGCAGGTCCGACAGAGCTTCCTGCAGTAGCTTCTCCTCCCCTTTCTGCCCTTCCTTCCTCACCTCCACGGCGGAAGCACAACCCGCAGAGCTGTGACCCCCCACGCGCTGAGCGGGGCTGTCACCTCGCGGCACTGCAGCCCTTCAGGAAGCACACGTGGTCCCCCGTGTGCCCTTCTGCACATTCTCTCCAGCACGCGGGGGCCGGGACCCCTGACGGCTGCGGCTGAGCCCCTCGGCACACACTCGGCTGTCTGAGCCCTTGGAACCCGAGTGCCACTTTGCCTGCGGTTTAATAGACCCGGGTTATCTCTGCGTCGTGTGTTGGAGGTGGACTGCTCGTTTCACAGCTGTGAATTTTTCTTTCCCCTTCTGTCTCCTCAGAAATCGCAGGTGCTCCGGTGTCTGAAATTTCTGGGCCTTTCTCGACAGATGACACGGCCAGCAACTGTGTCCCCGCCCAGTCTCTGAACGAGCCCGTTTTGTGGATCGTCTCCTACACCCTCATGAGCGTGTGCGGAGTCATCCTTCTCATGCTCATCGTCCTGCTGCTGCTTCCCTGCCGGTGTCCGCGTCGCCCCCGCGACCCCGAGATCGTCAACGATGAGTCCTCTCTCGTCAGACACCGCTGGAAATGAAAGGCACGCTCTGACCTCAGGCGACCTCGAACTCGGCTGTTGAGAGAACGTCAGGGGCAGCAGGCAGGCGCGGGGTAGGAAGGCAAAGCCGCTTCCTGTGCGTCGGTCTGAAATCTCTGTTCTGCTCCCAGATGCCTTCCAGATTCACTGTATTCCAATCCATGCACTTAAAGCTTCCGATTCTTCTTCCCTACTTGCAAGAAAAATGGTAATAAACACCTCATTCTTAACCGAAACAGAGTGAATTGGGATTTAGGCTTGACGGGACCGGTGATGACTGTTTAGGTGTGCCACTAAGAAAAACAAAAAAGTAAATGAAAACCCAACAAGCCTCAGCTTGTTCTTTCTCTCTGGTCTCTGGAAAAAGAATGCATATAGTTGATAACCCTCCTAGCTTGCAGGAAGCTTCCTGTATTAATCGCATTTAAGGGTGTTCAAGAAGGCTCACGATACGATGGCAGGAGAAGGAGCCTAGGGCTGATGCTGTGACCATCCTGCCCCTTCTGAGTCAGAAGTGGAGCCGCTGCCCCTTTTGTGGGTCCCTCTGTGCTCTGAACGGGCGCCGGAGTCCGCGAGGAGGACGCTGCCCAGCAGTCCTCACCAGCCTCTGCTGCAGGCCTCCTGCGCGTGCAGGTAGAGTGGAAAGAAACCTACTCTTTTGTACCCAATACTTCTGTGGTCTTCCTTGGTGTGAACAGCAAAAAGCTACCTCTTTTGAGACTTGGCCCAGGGTCCTCCTGTTCCCCGGGTGGGGGTGTGAGCAGGCTGCTTGCAGCTGTCCCCCTCGCCCCAAAGAGTCCTCATCCCAACAGGTGGACGCAACAGGTGCTGAAGTCCTGTCACCAACACAGAGAAGTCCTGTCACCAGGCTGGTCATGATCACATGTGCTTACTCTTACTTAACGAATAGTGTTTTAATGAGAAAAACAAATTCTGTTTCGCTAGCTTAGTTATTTTTTTCCCAGATCTTCTCTGGGGAAAAAGCAGATTGGTTATTACCGTACTGGGAAATAGCTACGTGCCCGTATTTCTGACCAGCTGCCCGGGAAGGGAGATGCAGGCGGGGAGAGGACACGGAGGGAACCTCTGCTCTTTCCCGTGCTTTGAAGCTGCTTATTTCCCTTTGCAGGACCCGCAGGCTGAGGCAGCCCGCGTGAGTCAGCGCGGGTCTGTTCGGCAGTCGATCTGGGTGCTTCCTCCCTCGGGCGCGTCCCGTGTCGGGCGCCGGGTGTGCAGGGGTGTCCTTCTCTGGGGAAATCCCCACTTCTATCGCTTATTTGAGGCCTTTGCCAAAGAAAAGTGGAAGCCTTTAACTCCATGTAGCCAGCCTTTAACTCTTGTGTAATTAGGAGAAGGGTTCAAAGCCAATACTGTGCCCTTTCTCTCTTGTTTGTGTGCCAAGTTCAGTGTCGCTTCGCTTTGCTATTGGGGTGGGTTCGATATACAGCAAAATTCCACTGAATGTGCTACATGTCCCCTCTTGTGGGAGTGTCGTTTGTGTTCACAGCAGCTACGCCTGGATGTTTCAGCCATCTGTTCTGCTCGCTGGGTCCCGGGTCACCTCCATATGAGAAATACGTGGCCGTGCCAAAGAGACACAGAGGCCACTCAGGCTTGTCATGATGTCCTCGAAGATGCTCCAGCAGCCAGAGGAATCTTCTATGTGTTTCTAGGGAGAGAAGATTTGAGTTGCTCCCGGGAAGGAACATGAGGGACTAGAATGTGAGGCAGAGTTTCTGGGATCGGGTGCCCAGTGTCATGTCTGGTCTCAGCTCATTGAGAGCTAATCATTTCAAAATGCATTTCAAACTTAGAAATCTCTAGAAGTCCAATTCACTTCTTGTCCTGTTAGTTTTTTCAGCGGTTCCTGTTTTGTGGGCCGCTTTGCATAGAAGCGAAGCCAGCATCCCTGGACTGTGCCTTCCCCTTGCTCTGCAAAATGCAAACCCCTGAAATGAAAGGAAGGAGCTGCAGGTGTGACCTGGTCCGTTTTGCTGCCGATTCCTCCATACAGGCATCTTCCGTCTCATTTTATCGTGTTAGGTTTCTGCAGTGGGGAAGCTTCCTACTGCGGCAGGTCGGCAGGCCCTGTTCTCAGGATACACAAAACAAGTAGGGCAGTTGAGTGAAGTTTGCTCTAAGTCTGCATTGCATATCACATTTCTCTACCTTTTCATCTCAGACATCATTGGATGTGACATCTTAATGAAAATACTTAAATTACAAAAGCATAACTTAGCAACAGCAATGAAATAGACGATTGAATACGGGACATTTTCCTGGCATGCCTTGCCACTGAGAATTGGACTTTGAGTCAAAACCCCGTTAGGGACACCCACATTCTTCAGTTATGTAGATTGATGCTTAGCTTGGCAAACCTTCAAGGTTTGCTTTGAACAGGAGAGGAGGTGGCAGTCATTTGAGGGTGTCATTTTTTTACCTTGTAATACACTGGAAAATGCTGGAAGATGGTCCCTGCCTGAAAGGTGTGGCTGAGTATTAGGTTGTTGTCAGAAACCTTGTCAACTCTCTGATGAGAAATGGATACTTCTCCATGAACAATGCTGTTTTAAACAGGATGAGGCTTTATATTCTTGATAACTTCTTCGCAAGTCTGAAATGAAATCCTGCCTCCAGTCACTGAGGCTGTTTATAAAAAATAGCAAGAAATGAGGTGAAGATTGATTCTGTTTTTCCTGGGAAATTAAAAGAACCACAAGTGATTGGCGTCAGATCTCCTAGCGTAAACCGTACACCATTTCATCTTTCTTCTAAACCAAAAACAAGTACCCGGCATTAAAGAAAAACGGATGCTCTGTGGATGACCACGAGGAATGTTTTTACTGAACACGTTCCGCTTCTGAACATTTGGAAGGACTTTGCCTGATTCATTGTGAAACACAGAGGTTTTGGTGGGAGATAAATTTGGGGTCAGTGAGTATTCAAAATGATAAAAGTGGTTGCCAGCAAGACAGCATTAACGACTCCACAGAGCTTTGGGTAATGGATTTTGAAAAGCGGCTGTGATTTGGGAATTGCGTCGCCTTGTTGAAGAGGTGAGGAGGCATTATTTAATTATTTAATAGGCTTGGCACCTGAATGAGAATTTGTTAAATTCCTCTTGTCATGTCCCTGCTTGGCGGAGCTGCCACACATGGTTCAGTTCTGAGTTCTGGCCTAATGCCACTCGATGTCACTGGGAATAAATCACTGTCCAACAGTCTGTTCCATAAACAACAATAATTGAGTTTCGCAGTCCTTATCCTTATTAGTGGAAACCAAATAATTGGGTGGAATCCCAGTGTGTTTTCTCTTGCACAAACTTAGTAGAATTGATTATGGAACTGCTCAGAGGAAAAACATGCCACTAACAATTTTTTTAAAGAAAAACAAGCAAACACCATAAAATGGAAAACTATGGGTTTTGCCAAGAGACATACTACATTTTTTTAGTGCCAAGAAAACTCCACACGACAGAAGTTATTGTGTACATCTCTAGTGGGTTTTAAGAATTTCATATTTGAACTTACAGCAGTTTACCAATTAAGTAGCAAGCTGGAAAAATACATTTTGAGAGTGGGGAAGGAAAATAAGAATATAATTAAAAGTATGCTAACAACATAAGCAAAATTAGCTCTTTTGGAAAAGGCACTTAAATTCCAGGCATCCTCAGATTTTTTTTTACCCTTAAAGTGGCTGAATCCATCGGAGGTGTGATTTGTTTTGCAGAGCCAGCAACCCCAAACTTCAAGAATGTTCAACGTTGACACCGACAGAAGGAGAAAACGTGGTCGGGTGGCTCTAGTGATGCCCACACGGAACAAAGATCGGTGCATGTTAAGGACGGAGTGGAGACTTGGTAAATTCCAGAATCGGGGAAGGGAGTCAGGGGCAAGAAGGAGCCAGAAGAGAGGCCATAACCCTCTGTGGGCAGTTGGCCGTGAGAGTCTGGACCGCTGAGGACATCTCCAGGATGCACAGCACCTCATTGCACCCCAAGTTTTTGTCACAGCCTACTTTTAAGGAATTTTCCAAAGGAACTCCTCATGATCGAAAATTCGTCAGAACAATTAGGCCAAGAGAAACTGCCCTGTGGTCACATTTATAGCACATCTGTCCTAATGAGACTAGAGATGCCAAACACTCCTGGCAGCAGTTGCCCTTTTCCCGTCATTGAGACCCGGAGCGACTCGGACCTGACCTGCGGGGCCAGCGCACAGGTGCTGGAGGTCGCGCAGGCTCCTGGCCAGGCTCCTCCTCTGGGACCGTCTTCTGTCAGAGACACTCCAGAGAAGGAGCTTGAGGCTCCCTCCTGGCTCTGCTGTCAGCCCCTGAGCCCTGCACCCCTGGCAGGTCCAGGTCGGGCGTCCTGGGGCACAGCCAGGCCTGTGGGGGGCGGGGAAGCCGCATTGCCCTGAGCTCCCCAGGGGAGGACGGAGAACACAGACGGGCTCGCAGGCTTGGGCAGGCGCCCTGGGCTGGCAGCGTGTGCCAGCCTGGAGGAGGGGGAAGGTCTCCAGCGAAATTTGTGGAATATGGACGTGAGAACAAGGCCACACCTCCTAGTGACGTCAGTGCGTCAGCGAAACCTCTAGTCCCATCAGTGACTGGAATCAAACACGAGCATTGAGCAGCTTCAACTGATAAATACAGCGTTTTCTCCCCTACCCGTGAGGTTTCTTATAATCAGATGTTCCCTACAGATGTCTCGTGTTGCTAAACTAAATCGCACTGTGTAATTTTTACAGCACACTTGCTCTTAGCACACGGTAGGGGACGGCTGGGCCAAGGGCACCATAAAGCCAGCCGGGGCAGAGCGCCGTGGGGCACCGTGCAGCCTTCGGGGACTTGTTTAGACACTGCCCTGAAAGCGGTGGTTCTGGATCGTTGCAGTTAGCATCTCGGAATGCAAGAAACGCCGTGTTGGCGAAACATCTGTCTCACCTCTGGGAATGACACGGCAGCATGAAGAGGGCGGTTCCCTTTGTAGGTGGAGAATTATTCGTGTGAGGCCAACGGGGTAAAGTCTAAACTGTAGGTAACACGCGTGTGCCTCTCACATCGCGGTCGGAGCAAACTATTTTGCCAATGTGGATTTACAGTTACACACTATATAGCTATAAATGATGGATTTGTAATAAAGATTTCCAATAAGCTACCTTTTTAGTGGTGTCAATAAAAGACTAGAAACCTCGAGCAGCCTTTGCAACGTCTCCTCCTTTAACACCGATG